CAAGGACAGATCCAGTGGCTATAAGGTCTGTAATTTATGCAACTTCAGAGTCCTTTAAAAAAAAATGGAAGGGGGGTGCTGAAGACATGGCTCAGTGGTTAAAAACCCTTGCTTGCTATTTTTCCAGAGGACCTGAGTTCAATTCCCAGCCCCCACATAGTAGCTAACAATGGTCTGTAACTCCAGTTCCAGGGGCTCAGACACCGTCTTCTGGCCTCTGCATTGCACACATGTGGTGCACTTACATATATGCAGGCAAAACAGATACACATTGTTAGGTTTTTGGAAAATAAAAGGAAAGATAGAAGAGTAGGAGACAAGAAACCAGAGCCAGACCTGCAACAAGCAAGGAATAGATCTTCCTTTATTCAAAGAAGATGCAATGAGCGGTAGAGGCTGTCCGCGGGAACCAAGCATCTACAACCAGACAAAGAAAACGGGTTTTTATACCAGGGCTGTGAGACACAGCTGCACTTTGTAGGGAGTTGAGTTAGTGCCAGGGTTTGGTGTCCTTGAGGGTCTCTTTTCTCAGATAGGTGGTGAGTTAACTATGGCACTAAAGGAGACAGGTGGGCTCCACAAATACTTCCTGTCAGGCTTGGGAGTGACCAACTGATAAGGGGTGAGCAGAGCCAGGCTTGAGCAAGGCCAGGCTGCCAAGATAGGGCCAGTTAGACATTTTAAGGGATTTATGGATTTCCCTAATGGGGCTTGTGGCTCTTCTGCAATTCACACATTCTATCATTCCAGACCCTGGGGCATCTAAAAAAAGGAGAGGGCAGGGGATAGGATTGAAAGAGGGGTACATTACTTGGGGGAAATAAGAAGATACAGGCACAGTGAGGAAAAACTGAATCTAGTCCTGGGTATGGGACATAAAGGTTCCTTGAAGTCACAGTTTTTGTGTCAGTAAGGGAATCCCAATTGGTGACAGGTCCAGGCATTAATCAGAGGTTACTTTGAAGATCCCTCAGTGGACTGAAGAGAAGGTCAGTGAAGGTGACACGGCTTCTCCGCAGCAGGCCAGCAAGCTGTTTGTCTCCGGGAACTTTTGGTTTCTGAGAAGTTTTCAGGTAGCATGGAACAGGAGCATAGTCTTAATTTGGTCCCAGGTAGAGGCTTGGGCAGTCATACAGGCTGTTCGGTCAGGAGATTCTGTAAGAATTTTTGGAGACAATAGTAAATTAAGCATAGTGTGAGAAAGGGATGGGAAGATGAGCTGGCCAGTCCTCATCTGGGAATAAACTTGTCATTATTCTTTTCGGGTCTCTACCCCAACTTCTTCTTCTGGAGAGGTAACAGTTGCCAGTAGTGAATTTGGGCATCAAGTCATTCTGGCTTCTTCCATGCTGAACAGGGGCAAAGAGTGTGGCAACAGGGGTCCCCCTTCAGTGGGTCTATCTAAAAAAAAAAAAACCCCAAAGCATATAACTGTTAGTCCTTGACTGGTATCTGGGAGGAGATATGAAGGAGAAGTAAAACAAGAGTAATTAGGCACGTATTTTAGGTAGGGAACCAGGAAAAATAAATGTCTACATTAAAGTTCATTAGAGTTTCTTAATGGGGGCTTCTAAGACCATCCATTTACTGGGCCATTTTCTTTTTCTGGGTGTTACAGCTGGACTCAGAATTTGTTTGTTTGTTTTTTGTCTTTTTTTGAGACAGGGTCTCCTTGTAGCCCCAGCTGTCCTGGAACTCACTATGTAGACCAGGCTGGCCTCAAACTCACAAAGATCCCCCTGCCTCTGCCTCCCAAGTGCTGGGATTAAAGGCGTGCACCACCACACCCGGCTTAGAATTTGGTTTTTAAGCACTTTGATAGCTGTTGGAATGGCCAGAATCATAGTGTGTTTTCTCCCAGATGGTTTCTATAGGCAGGGAGTGAGAAGAAATTTAGTTGTCATTTAATTTTTGTAAAAACAATAGTGGACCTGTCCCCCTTGGCTGTAGGTGGCACAAAATTCTAGTGGGAATTTGTAAATAATATTGTATATGAGCTTTTAAGTCTAATATCTGGGAAGTATAATTTTTTGGACTTTAAAAGAAATATACGGATTATTTTAATTTTTGGTTATACTTTCCTTTTGGGTATTTAAGACCATGCAGCTGGCCCAAATTAAACCAAGTTTTTGTTTTATTGTGAAGGTCAGTTGAGGCTATGGTCCTCAGGGATCACTCGGGCTTTGGGGGGAGCCCTTGGCTCCTTTGGCTTTCCTTTTACCAGTTCCATCTATATGAGGATAAGTCAGGAGGTCCTGCTCGACCCTGGCTTTGCTTGGAAGCATAGAAGAAACGTTTTCCTGTGCTGACCCCTCCTCCTTGTAGACTGGACACTGGCCTGAGTCCCTCTAGTGGGGTCTCCATGACCTCCCTGAACAAGAGGACAGGTGACTCACCACAGTTACAGGACATTTTGAGAGATGCCCCATATTTCCCTGGGACTTAGTTGACCTTGGAAGGCAAGGAACAAAATTGTCCCTTAAACCCCTTTGACCAGATTAGTATAGGCCTCTAAATATGGGCTTTAAACATCCAAGAAGGTTAGTTGCACCAGTCTGGTACCTTTGATTACTGCATAATATATAGCTAAAACTTGAACAAAAACTTAAACATTTTTAAATAAACAATGAGTGGGAAAGATTTAACATTATAGATCAAGTAGGCATAGTCCAGGAAAGGGAGTCAAAATAATTCCCTCAGGTCCGTCTCCAGACCCTGAAGACAAAAAAGAAAAAGAAAAGAAGAACAAGGGTGTAGTTTTTCTATGGCTACTTTTGTTTACTATGGGTGAAGTGAGGGGTGGGGTGGGGTGGGTCAGATAACATACCTATAGACAGGAAATAAACTGATCTGGATTCAGATCAAACCCATGGAATGAAATTGTTTTCTTTTGGATTGTCCCATTTGGTTCTGGGAGGTAAAACTTAGTTTTCATGAGCCATATTATTTTGTTATGGGTGAAGGAAAACACCAAAAGTAACTCTTGCATAATACAGAGAAACACAAAAGGACGTGTTTTAGTCGTCACCGGTAACTCCAGTACTCGTTTGTATCCATTGAATTCCAGACTGTGCCGAGGTGTGTGGCACAAGTCAGAGGAGTGGACTGAAAATTTTTTTGCTGTAACAGTAATTATTATAATAATAATAACAACCTTGTATTTCTACACATTTACTCAGACTTTTAACAAACTTGTTTAAACATTTTTATTTATTTATTTTGGAAATATCTAGTAATTTTAATCTTACTAACTTTGACCTTTTAACTTTATCTTTTAAACAAACCCATTATTTGTTGTGAGAATTTATCAAATAACCAATATTTAGTCCCTCATACCTATAGATAGATGAATAACCATTTTAAACATGTCAGTACAATATACGCTTGGTAAAGGTATGGACTTTGATATATCTGTTTATTGGCTAGTCCCTCATACCTATAGATAGATGAACACCAGGGGAGGGAGTCAGAAGTCGAGTGCCCGAGTTTTCGGGCTACCTCAGTCTTAAGACCCCAGGCGGAAGGGGGACTCCCAGAGCCCCCCAAATGGCAGGGGCTCCCGGAGCCCCTGGGACCTGGTTGGTGGGCCACCTCCCCTCCCCCCACCCCCAGTCAGGCCCGGATTACCTTGTCTCCTGGGAGGTGATGGATGGGAGGGCAAAACAAATGGAAGGTGGCTTCCCTACCTGGAGGTCTGGCTAGATACAGAAAAAGGAGAGAGCAACGAGCATCAGAAGGTGTAGAGGAGAATTAGGAGGAAGAGTGCCAAGGAGAGGCCCCAAGTGAAAGGCTCTCGGACTCTCAACAGTCACCAAGGCCAGAGACGCCCAGAGGCCTTTGGAGAGGGTCCGGAGAGGACCAGGGCCTCTGGGTGGGCCCCTGGAACCCTTCCCTGAATAGGCCACCAAATGTTAGATTTTTGGAAAATAAAAGGAAAGATAGAGGAATAAGAGACAAGAAACCAGAGCCAGACCTGCAACAGGCAAGGAATAGATCTTCCTTTAATCAAAGAAGATACAGTGAGCGGTAGAGGCTGTTGGCGGGAACCAAGCATCTACAACTAAACAAAGAAAATGCGGGGAGAGGGTTATACTGGGGTTGTGAGACACAGCTGCACTTTGTGGAGAGTTGAATTAGTGCCTGGATTTGGTGTCCTTGAGGGTCTCTTTTCTCAGACAGGTGGGTGAGTTATCTATGGCACTAAAGGAGACAGGTGGGCTCCACAATTACTTTCTCAGGCTTGGGAGTGACCAACTGATAAGGGGTGAGCAGAGCCAGGCTTGAGCAAGGCCAGGCTGCCAAGTTAGGGCCAGTTAGACATTTTAAGGGATTTATGAATTTCCCTAATGAGGTTTGTGGCTCTTCTGCAATTCACACATTCTATCACACATAAAAATAATAAATATTAAAAATTTTTCTTGATTTAGTTTTATTTTATGTGTGTGAGTGTTTTGCCTGCATGTATGTAAGTAAGTACACATGTGTCATGCAATGCCTGTGGAGGACAGAAGAAGGCATTTCCCTGGAACTGGAGTTACTGATGGCTGTTAGCTGCCGTGCCATGTAGATGCAGGGAACTGAACCCGGGTCCTCTGCAAGAGCAGCCAGTGCTCTTAACCACTTAGCCATCTCTCCAGCCCCTTCAGAGCCCCTTTCTTTTAAAGCAAGAAAATATTAAACTTTTTTACAGATCAGTAGGCAAGCCCCTCAGGGCCTCAGAAGGGGCCTGTGCCAGCGAGGGGTCCTAGGTCTCCCCCAAACACTTCTGGCCTCCCCAAAGAGCCAGGGCTGCTCAGTCTTGCAGAGAGAGGGTTGTTGGGAGCAGGCTAGCTTTCTCTTCCCCAGAATCCCAGGCCCAGAGTGGTGCTTGAACATAGGGAGACCTGAAGCCCTGGGGTCAGAGGGACTTTGTTGGCCATCACTGGAGCTGGGCAAGAGGTCCAGGTGTGGGCTGCTGGTGAGGGCCTGGGCTCACAATGCCCTTGGCTTTGTGCCTGCAGGTGGAGAATCTGAAGGAAAAGCTCATTAGCCAGGCCCAGGAAGTGAGCCGACTACGGTCAGAACTGGTGAGGCCCCCAGTGCCATCATGAGGAGGGGCGGGTGCCCAGCTGTGGCAGACCTTCCACCCGGGGGTGTGGCTGTCTCTGAGTCCCCACACTGCCCTTTCTCAAAGACCTGTCACTGCTTGCCAGGAGGGCAGGAGGCTGGATCTCATTTGCTGACATGAAATAAGAGTGTGAACTCTGTGCATCAATGTGACTTTGTGTTACTTTCACACTCAGGAAAATAGACTGAGGGGCAGGAGCAGCAGGGAGCACGCCTGCCTCTGCCTTGCAGGCTTCCCCTCCTGTCTTTCTCCTGGCCTCTTTCTGAGCTTCTGCCCCCCCCCTCCTTTCTTTGCCTGCCTGCCCTTCTCTCTCCCCTGCTTCTTCCCTCTTTCTCCTAGCCTCATCTCGCTTCTCCCTGCCTGCCCTCGCCAATGCCTCCCCTTGGCCCTGGCTCTCCACAGGGAGGCACTGACTTGGAGAAGCACCGGGACAGGCTGATGGTGGAGAACGAGCGTCTGAAGCAGGAGCTGAGGCGCTGTGAGGTAGAGTTGCAGGAGCTGCGGGCCCAGCCAGCTGTGCGCTGCCCAGGCTGTGAGCACAGTCAGGTGAGCTGGCGGGGCAGCCCCCGACCCTGGGCCTGTGTGCTCAGCTGCTCGAAGTGACCCTGCCCTTTGTCCTGCTTTTCTTGACCCCTGTAGGAAAGCACCCAGCTCCGTGACAAGCTGTCCCAGCTGCAGCTGGAGGTGGTGGAGAACAAAGGCATGCTGTCAGAGCTGAACCTGGAGGTGCAGCAAAAGACAGACAGGCTGGCAGAGGTGGAGCTGCGCCTCAAGGACTGCTTGGCTGAGAAGGCACAGGAAGAAGAGCGGCTCAGCCGGCGCCTGCGTGACAGCCATGAGACCATTGCCAGCCTGAGGGCCCAGTCCCCACCAGTCAAGGTGAGTTGCCAGTGAGGTAGCTGGGAGCACAGCCCTGAAGGAGTCTGGCTTAGGAAGGACTTGCGCCTGCAAGGGTCTTGTCCTAGTGAGTTCTGTGAATGGTTGAAGGGCTCTTTGTAGTCTTGTGTTCAGTTTTGCTCCTTCCTTACCTATTGCCCAGGACCCGGATCAGTACAAGTGCCTAATAACCAACACTTGAGGTGCCCACTGCATGCCAGGTCCAGGTGTAATGCAGCTTCTAGATCCTGCTGTTGCCTTTGCCCTTCTGGTCTGGTCTGTGCCCAGCCTGGGTTCTCCTCACTTGAGAAGACTGCAGGAGCTTGTATCTCCTGGAGATTTTATCAGCAGCCATTGGTGGGATGATCCTGAGGGTCCCTTCCTGGGATCAGCCACTGTCTGAGGATGTCTGGTGCTGTCCTTCCCTCTCCTTGCAGTACGTCATCAAAACAGTGGAGGTAGAATCATCCAAGACCAAGCAGGCCCTCAGCGAGTCCCAGGCCCGGAACCAGCACCTGCAGGAACAGGTGGCCATGCAGCGGCAGGTGCTAAAAGAGATGGAGCAGCAACTGCAGAGCTCCAATCAGCTGACAGCACAGCTCCGGGCTCAGGTGTGCAGGCAAGAGGGTGGTAGCAAGGACTCCATAGACCTGGGGTTCAAGTTCTCCTCTTCCTTGGTCTCTGTTTCCTCATCTGTAATATCATCTAGTCACAGATGCCCCTTCACAGTTGGGGACACAGGAAAATGATCACGATACTAGCAGCCCACAGTATGCTTCCCAAGTAGCAGCACTACTGCTCTGGTCCTTGTGCTTTTCCCAATCTCCTAGGAGCACATGGCTTATCATCTGTTATATGCCTGAACCAGCTGGAGCTGGGGCTAATACAGGGATGTGGCAGCTATACAGAGCTTACAGCCCTGTAGTGGTGATGGTGGGGTAAGACATGCACACCAGCCAGTGTTTGTGCATCTGTGTGTATGCATGTGTGTGTGCATACACCTGTGTGTGTCTGCTTTCCTATTCCCACTTTTCCCTACTTCTGGCACTCCCTACTGAGGCTTTGCCTGGCCTCGCCACCAGATTGCCATGTATGAGGCAGAGCTGGAGCGAGCACATGGGCAGATGCTGGAGGAGATGCAGTCTCTGGAGGAGGACAAGAATCGAGCCATCGAGGAGGCCTTTGCCCGAGCCCAGGTAGAGATGAAGGCAGTGCACGAGAACCTAGCAGGTGAGCCTGAAGTGGGCCCTGCCCATCCCACCCCACGTCTCCACCTCACAGCCCAACTGCCTTACACCCTTGCTCCGTAGGTGTCAGGACCAACCTACTGACACTGCAGCCAGCACTGCGGACTCTCACCAATGACTACAATGGGCTCAAGAGGCAGGTGCGAGGCTTCCCCTTGCTGCTGCAGGAGGCCCTCAGGAGTGTCAGGGCTGAGGTGAGTAAAGCGAGTGGGGGAGCGTAGGGGACGGGGGAAGCTTGCAGATACAAACAGCACGCACCCAGTCACCTTCCCTCAGAGCCCCCATGCAGTAGCCTTCTGCCTGGCTCCCCAAAGATGTAACATGCATCATGCACACACACGCTACCCTCCTATATCTCATCCATGCTATAGTATCCTTATAGCTTTTTTTTTTTTTTTTTTTTTTTTTTTTTAAAAAAAAAAAAAAAAAAAAAAAAAAAAAGAGGACGATAAATCTTTCACTGTGATATATCAAAATAA